TAAGGGTGGCCATGGCCACCCCTGGCCCCCCATCTAGCTCCGCCTCTGGTTTGCATGTTCTCCCTGAGCATGCATGGGTTCTCTCCGGGTACTCCGGCTTCCTCCCGCAGTCCAAAAACATGACTGTTAAGTTAATTGGCTTCTCTAAATTGTCCTTAGGTGTGAGTGTGTGCGTGAAAGGTTGGTTGTCCTGCTTGTCTCTGTTTTGCCCTGTGATGGACTGGCAACCTGTCCAGGGTGGACCCCTGCCTCTCGCCAGTAGACAGCTGGAGATAGGCACCAGCACCCCTCGCGACCCCAGCAATGATAAGCAGGACGGAAAAAAGGACGGGTGGCTGAAAAACAGTGGTGGTTCTAGAACATTTTTTTAAAAGGTGGAACACTATAAAAGAAAAAAGAAAAAACAGGGCAATAAAGGATCCTTTAGTATATTAAGTGAGCCACAACGCCAATGTTGCAGCCCCTTGATCTAAAACAGGGGTTCCAACACAGCACGTGACCCAAAAAACAACAATGCAACAGTCTAGAGACTCTACAAAATACATAGATATAATCCACTCTATATAAATTCATACATATAATGAGAAGTAATTCTATTCATTGTAAAATCAACATTTTTTATGACATTAAAATATTACATTTTTTATTTTACAAACATTTTCAATGATTCAATGGGACATTTATTATTTCATTGTTCATTTAAAAATTTAACAGTATATTTAACAGTTAAATCATGCATTAGAGAGAGAGTTAATATGGCTCAAGCTCACGATGGCACAGCTTAGTTTTTATATAATAGTGAAAGTAAACAGTGAGGGTAAAATATGAAATTAACCAGTCAATTTGAATCACTTCTATATGTTTATAAGGAATTCATTTAGTATATGTTTTCAGTAAAGGGGTCAGAACCAGTTCCAGAGGGGCTCTGGTCCCCGTTCGCCCCTGTCTACCACCGCCAGTGTATTATGTAGCATTTTTATCCTTATAAAAAGAAGAAAACAAGGATAGTCTAATATTTTTATATTTTATCAATGTTTTTACTTTAGGCCTTACCATACAATAACAAATTATGCTGTATAGAAAGAAATACATAATGGATAGAAAATAGTGAAAAAAAATTATATGTTTGTGGAAGTTAAAAATAATAATCATTTTGGTTTAGCTAAATTTGTATCAGTTGTAGTCAAAACATTGTTTATTTAGTTATTTATTTTTCCCCAATATTTGATAAAAGTCAGCTTTCACTCCTTGCCACATATTCGTCGCTGATTTTCCTAAATGTTAGCAGTAACGATTACCTCCAGGGCCGTTGTTAAGATGAATGAGGTCTTAAACAGAAATTCATTAGGATCTTACCTCAGGCTAAGACCGTTAAAATGATTATGAACTTGGAAGGATTGAAATTTAGAGCGAGGGGGAAGCTGAAAGTTTTATTCTTTTTCCTTAGCAGCTATGAGCTGTAAACATTGTGGAATAAGCATCCAAATATGGGTCTTTTATTATAACATTTTTAGCATATAACCAACAGATGCACCTGTAAGCATGTCCGTTGTAAATCTTGTTCCTCTATCCGGCAGGGTTAGCTCAGGCTAACTGTGAATTCAGCGGTTCTTGTCTCGTCTGTTTCATTAGAAGTAGAATCATCTGGAGGTTCAGGTTCCGGCAGGGAGAAATAGATTAAGGTGTTTTAATAAAATGTTCATCTTGTTCAATTGAAGGCTAATTGAGGTCGGAGGGCTCTTCAACAGCGAGCAGAATCTGATCTAATTCCTTAAAAAAAAAAACTAATCTCTAGGTGGTGCTCTGAAGACAAAAGGCAGGCCATTGTTTTATTTATTTTTTTATTTTTTAAAGGAAGTTACCTTAAGGTACAGATTGCCTATAGTTGAGTGGTTATATAGAACATAAATATATGATAAGAACCCAGAGTGCGTGTTTTGATTGACTGTATTTAAATAGGCTGCTGTAAATGCTGAGCGCTTATCCCCAGTTTTTTTCTTCAGTTTTCTTCAGCTTTAGTCTTTTTTCCTGAAGTTTGTATAGATTTATTAAGCATGCTCTCCGGTTTTCTCTCTGACCCTGAAACTTCCTGCAGGATTAAATTATCAGTAGCGGGCAGTGTCTCGGACCACACCAGCCGTCCTCTCTTTGTTTTGATTTGTGTTTTCACAGTCCAGAGATTTCACAGTTTGGTTTATTGGGAGTCTGAAGTACTTGTAAGTGTGAACGTCATTGCTGTAGTGGACTGGTGATTTGTCTTCCATACTAGAAATATTAGAGCTGCGCTGGGCTCAAGCAACACAGTGAAACACACTAAGAGAAATTAATGAGTTGAATGAATGTGGTTTCTTATGTAAACCCTTAAGTTAGCTCATAAGACAATGTGATTGTTATTTTTCTTCATTTTATGCAGCATCTACTCAATATTTAAAATCAATAATTCAACATGATATTGTTTATGTTCCCAGTGTTTAATAAATCTTTGCCAATTTCTGCTTTTTTCAAATCTATCTTCATTTAGGGCTCTGGTTGTAGTGTATTGTATAATGCACTGAGGGCGGAGGCATTACTGCAGCTCTGTGGAATGTAAGAATACAATATTGGGAGTATAAGAAAAGTCTCAGTACAGAGGATCTCCCACGAGCAGGGAGAAAGGAGACGATCAATACGGAGGGAAACGGCAAGTGATGAGGAGGCTTTACCGCTGCTGTGCTGAGCCAAACTCTTCACAACGGGAATAAAACACAGAACCTCTGATTTATCATGCTTATTATTTATTAAAAGGCTTTAATTTCATATTGATGAACTTGCGGGGTAACAGATAATCAAACATATGCGATTAACTCTACTTTATAAATGTATTTTCTTATTTCTCAGAAGAATCCAGTTGATTTTCTAAGCAGTTTTACTAATTAGTCAAAATGTATGTATAACTTTTCTTTTATACTTTATATCAAGACTTGTTGTTCTTTCTTAAGCTGTTGTCTTGGTAACAAGATCATTAGAGCACCTGAGCATTTTCAGTCATAGACGGTCACATAGTAGTAAATAACTGAGCTGGAAGGAGAGGAATACAATCACGTTCAAGAGAAACAACAACGCTAAACAAACACCTAGAGCTGCATTATAATTGTTTACATTAAAGGGACAACAGATCTATAGCCAGTTGTTTCTGTCCTAAAATAGAAGGTTCTCATGCTTTCCTCATTTTTAGAACTTTCCAGTATGTTAAGAGTCAGAAGGCGCTTTGGTTTTTACAACCCTTGCTTGCTGGGAAGGACAAAGCTTGTAGTTATTTTATTGCTGCCATTTAAAGTAAGAATTATGATGAATCTGGTACATCTGAAGAAAAGGTAAAGCCCCTATCACACCTTGATGATTTATCCAGCGTATGCCTGATGTCCCAGAATCTTCTAAAACGCTGGCATACACTGAACTTTCTATGCATTTTTTACATTTTGGTTCTATACATAGAGTATTTATAACAAGTCCAACGACAGCCTAACTTATATATAACGCACAGCAGCGTAATGCCCATGAAATGTCACAAGCCAGTGTCCTGAAGTGGGCAGCAATGCACCCGGTGGCGCCCAGCCTGCATAAAAAGATTTCTTTGATAGCGATATTAACTTAGCTGCTGTTTGCCGCCTGCCAAGTTAAAAAGAATAAATAAATAAAAAGAAAAAGAAAGAGCGAGGGTTTGCGTCCCAGCAGATTCAGTGTTATGTCTGCTATGACGTTTATTGGTCGTGGCCGTGAAGACAGGGAGAATCTTTCACACTCACCTTCACACTTTCCCTATGATGGTGATGAAATCTGGAGGAGAACTGATGGTTTCCTCCTGTGAGGAAACGCTTTTATACCAAAACGCTGCCAATACGTCATTAAACAGTAGTTGTAAGTTGTACTTGATGTATTTCAACGTGT